ATGAATCACATGGTCTCCATTCTGAAGAAATACACTCATCTTTCACATAATAACATTAGCTTCCCACAATAGCAAAATAAAGAGAACACATGACTCATTACGTCCACGTCTGCACCCATGTGATGCCTTCAAATCTCATCGTGGAGAAACTTGTTCTCCATCTGTAACACTTGACTTAATACCACATACACCAGGGTGTTCACCTCTACTGTCACATTACATTTCTTCCTCTTAAATTCTGGATGTGTAAGATCACAATTTTGCTATTTCTAAAGATATCTTCAAAAGTCTTTTTTTTAAAGCTTTATTTATTTATACAGTGTTCTGCCTACATGCATGCCTGTATTCCAGAAGAGGGTACCAGATCTTACTATAAATGGTTGTGAGCTACCATGTGGATGCTGGGAATTGAACTCAGGACCTCTGGAAGAACAGCCAGTGCTCTTAACCACTGAGCCATCTCTCCAGTCCCCAAAGTCTTAACTCTACAATGATGGAGATTCTTCACATAGGTGTCTGATGAAAGACTCCCACCTTGCCAATGCTGTCGTCACATTTTTTCCTGTAACACGTGTTACACAGATCCAGAGGTCCCTTTTGTATACATCCAGGCCCTTGAAGGCCTGTAATAAGCCTCAGACCCATTGTTCTAAGAAGCAGGCATTTCTAGAAACAAAATGTCATCTTGTAGGTGAGGCTCAAAACATTATTGTCTCTGGTGAGCTAAGATTCTGCTCACTTTCCACGGTATAGTTATGTAGCATGCCCCGAAGCAGGTACTGATTAATGTGCCTGTTTGTCTCATGGCACAGTTAAAAAGCATCTCTTTAAACTATGATTCATACTTTCCCTTTCAGCCTTTCTGGAGATTTTTGTTCATGAATCAAATGAGGAGGCTGATTGCACTACTATTTTAAAGAGCCAATTAAAAAGTTCATTAAACGATACTGGAAGGCTTTAGTGAAGATTTTGGAAGTGCACAGCTACACGCAAAATTAACCAGCTGGGAGTTGCAACTGGATTGTATGGTAGAATTCGTTCGTTTTCACAAAGTAATCTTTCAGAGGATAATTATGTTCTCAACAGGACAGGAGTAGGTCGCTAGAAGGTACCATTGAAGTATAAAGCAAGAAGCCACATATATGTGCTAGATGGTCACTGACAAAAGTCAATGATTATCTCTTTACAAGAAGAAGAAGTTGGGCTTGAACCACACAGCTTGAGCTTGACCAATTGTATTCCAGGATGTTGGCGCTTTAGTAAGCCAGGGCTAGGGATCAAATAGTAAGAACTACTGAAGTTCAAAGTGACTACAATGGATCAGACTGCTGCTAACATATGACGTTGAATGCAGATGTCTATCTCCTGTCTAAGTTCATTCTTTTGGACTTATAAGTGAACTCCAATATCCCCTTTTGGATGAGATAACCAGAGTCTTGCAGCCAATGGTCCTGAAAGGACATGATTTATCCTTCAGAATGTTTATATACACAAATGACGTACACACACACACACACACACACACACACACACACACACACACACACACACAAGTTTATCAAGACAGGCTTTCTCTGTGTAGTCCTGGCTTTTCTGGAATTTGCTCTGTAAACCAGGCTGACCTCGAACTCACAAAGATCTGCTTGCCTCTGTCTCCCCAGTGCTGGGATGAAAGTCGTGCCACCATTACCCAAGATATATTTTTTTGAGACAGTGCCACTAGCCCAGGTTGGCCTCAAACTCTCTATATAGCCAATGAAATTAAAACAACTTTAAACTCTCATTTACCTACCTCTGCTGGGATTACATGTATAGGCTAACATGCCCAGTTTATGACTATGCTGGGAACTGAATTCAGGGCTTCATGCATGCTGGATGAGCACGCTACCATCTGAGCTAAATCCACAGCCTCCCACCCACCTCTAAATATTTTCTATTGCATTATAGAAAGATGTTTTTTTATAGTATAACCTTCCAACTAAATACTGTTGAGGAATGGGACAGTTAGCTACACAAATGCTACAGATTTCTACTTGTCAGAAATGGTGAGACAAAGAGGAAGGAGTCATGCATCAGGACTACTCTGGGAGGGATCGCTGGACCTGGCAAGAGAAAGGACCAGAAAGCAGGCATCAAGCATTAACAAAATAGTCATGTGCTGGAGACCAGTGTTTTGTAATGCTGTGGTCCTGATGTCATTAAACGCTTTCAGGCTGAAGCCTTGGGTTGAAACCCATGGGAAAGACTGAGTTGAGCACTGGCCGATGGACTCCTTGAGGCTCAGTTCTTGGATCTAGATCCATTGTTGGCTTGTGTGCAAGGGACAGTGAGCCCTGTGCTCAAGGGTGAGCACATAGTCTCCCCAAAGTCATTTTGTATGAATTCTGAGTGGACTCTTCACATTCTCAAGAAATGTGCTTTTACATAAACAGAAAAATTAATTCTGATCCCAGGCTTGGGAATCTTGAGTCAGATAGTCTACCAGGAAGCAAACTTATAGCCATAATCCAAGAGGGTGGATGGGGAACAAAGTAAATGCAAAAGAGATTGCTTCAAATCTAGCTCCAAAGGACTGAAGACTCCCAACCAATGAATGATGTTTCAGAGGGCCAAGAAGACCACACCCCACACCATGACTTCGGGTCTGCTCTACAATGGAATCTCATGATGGCTAACACTGCTCTTTCCAGCTGGCTCCCATCACCCTTCCTGTCACCTCCAGCCCCACATGGCAGGCTGCTATCTTCTCAGCAAAGCCTAAGGAGGGCTCTGCTCACACCCTCAGAGAGGTGTCTGTGACGCTCATGTGTGGGGGAAGCTCTCACAGCAGTTCTTGCTTATGCCAAAAACACCCTGGGAATAAATAAAGGCCCCCAATTCTAACACCTTCTAATCATACCAAAAAAAAAAAATGCATGTGCACAGAAGAGAGAGGACTTAAAAATAAAACTCAAGAAGATAGGGATTCTCTGCTATTGAATGAAATTCCTTAACACGAATCTCTCAGGTATTAAGTGCTTTCTTTACAGAGCCCATGCAAATTTTTAAAGCTAGAAATGGGGCCTAAGAAAATACATAGTCTAGATTCCTGTGTCACAAGCAAGCACGGTGCTGAGCAGAGGCCTGCTTCCGGCCAGACCTGGTCAGCTTTGAAAACCAGAATAGCACTCTTTTCCTCCCAGCGGCGAGCCAGCAGGAGGGAGATGGGAGGTGTTGCCCAGAGGATACAAAGTATCTAGAGTACACTAAATCAGCATTCTTTTAAACTTCAGTCAAGAAATACAACCCGCTGCCCAAACCCTTTTCCGTTCTGGAGTACTAGGGCAGGTTTCAAGCCAGGTCACCCCTTTAAAATGGGATGTGGGACCCTGGTGAACTACAAACTTTACCTGTGTGGGAGGTAAGGAGAGTGGACCCTCCTGGTTATGTAATTGTCTTGAGGATGAAAGAAATAATTTTGGTAAAACTCTGAGCACCATGCCCGACAGAAATTCAAGGATAGTGAAATGCATCTTCTTGCTTCTGTGTGAACTGAATCAGGCAAACAATGGGGTTTGTTTATTCCTTGGATTAGAATTTGTTCCCTCAGTATGAACACGTTCTCACAAAAAAAAAAACTCCAAGACCTTTGCATATTGGCCTATTATTTCTGGTAAGGTGTTGGCACAGATGAAGGACCGAAGAGTTATGGGTGCCAGGCTAAGCAGGCAAATTGCTTTGTGCTCTTGAACCCTGAATGAGGAGTTCTGAGTGTTGCTGTGGGAGGGGCCTTTTTTTTTTTTTTTTTTTTTTTTTTTTGCTTTGAGTCATTAAAAGTAATATCTGAATTCAAACATAAACTTGAGTCTCAGGTGTTTGATTATCTAAGGTAGTCAGGAATCTAGTCTCTACCATTGATCTATTTCTGTTATTTAGTGTGTGTGTGTGTGTGTGTGTGTGTGTGAGAGAGAGAGAGAGAGAGAGAGAGAGAGAGAGAGAGAGAGAGAGAGAGAGAGAGATCTCCAGTAGTTAGAGTCATAGGCAGCTGTAAACCACCCACTGTAGGTGCTAGGCACAAAACCTGGATCCTCTGCCAAAGCAGCAAGTGCTCTCAACCCCCAAGTGCTCTCAACCCCAAATGTAACCACCAGTTGTATAATGATTAGACTATTGATGTTATTATTTTACTTAAGCTCTACTCTGCTTTCAGCTACCTCTAGCTTTTGAATTTATTTCTATCCCTCTGGAGTTACAAGGACAAACTTGTCTCTCTCTTCTGTGAGTTACTGATGGAAGCAAGCCAATGCTTTTTTAATACTAGTGCATAAAGATTTAAATAAGAATATCAAAACATAGACCATTTCACTCTCTAAAATTAACTAAGAATCTGTTTATGGTGACCATGGCAACAAGTGGGCAACTATATGTGTGTGTTTGTGTGTGTGTGTGTGTGTGTGTGTGTATGATGTGTATGTATGTATAGATAGATAGATAGATAGATAGATAGATAGATAGAGTGTATAATTTACCTGTGGCTTAAGCTTTAACAGAGTTATAAGTTCCCACATACCATTGTCAAGGTTGAAGATCACAAACCGGAAGGGAATAGAGACTGTGGTGGGCTTTTAGAGCTAGCACTGAGGCACAAAACCTGCTTTTATATGTGTGTGGAAGGCAGGGTGTTGCATTTATAGTTTCTGTGAATGAACAGTTTGAGTTGCATAGGTTACCATTTCACACATTCTTCAAATGAAATCTTAATTTAAAAACAGACAACACAGAGGGTTGGGGTAATGGCCCTAAGGTCTGTGAAAGCAACTTGGAAAACATCTGATCTTAGAGCTGGACTGTAACAATCTTTAAAAAATATTTATTTATTTATTTATTTATTTGTTTGTTTGTTTGTTTATGTTCAGGGCAAAGAGAGCAAATTTGTTTGATGAAGGCAAACATCATCCAAAACCACATGGGCAAGGAGCCCAGGAAGCTTCTGGGGTGACAGAAATCTCACACTGAGCAAGTCACTGGCTCATGATATGGAAATGTCCTCTGCCATTCAGCAGCATCCAGACAAGCTCTGCATAGTTGATACAATCATTGCTGTCCTCATGCCCTGCCTCCAGCATCTCTACTTCTTCCTCTACCATCTCCTCACCCAGTGTGACAAGGACATGATGGATTTCAGCACCCGCAATGATACTGGTCCCTTCCTTCTCAAATACACGAAGGCCTGAAACATAATCCTGAGTTCCCTCGTCCTTGTTTTGGCCACAGTCTGCAGCATGGCAGGAAGTTGTCACTACGTCCACATTCATCTCATCATTCTTGGGGTTCCCCAGGACCTCAAGTACTTCAGTGTTGGTAGGGTTCTGGCCCAGGGCCTTCATCATATCCCCATGTTTGTGGGACAGGTAGAGGCCATCACCTGTTCTGTCAAATAGCTGGCAGACCTCCTTGAATTCTGTGGTCTGGTCCTCAGTGAAGCCACATATCTTGGCTGCTCAGCTCTGTGGGACTTTATCTGGCGGTAACGACCAGCTCTAATGGTTTTTAATTTCAGACCATATGTGACATAGTGTTTGAAAGTACTTGGTAAAATATAAAATGGATAATAAATGGAAAAATTATTATGGATCACATTGAAAAGCATGTTCTTTGTAAGTCTCAAGCATATAGTAGCATCAACCTTGAAAAAAAAAAAAAAAAGCCAAAATAGCTTCTGTGAAAACACCAGCCATCTAGACCTTTTCTATGGTGAGTTTGTGTCCAAAGCCCTTTAATGACACTTTTCATTCCAGGCTCTCTTTATAAAAGTCTGGGAAGCTTGTTAATGGCCAGCCAATTTCACCAAACTAAACAGCCTTCAATGGCAATCACTATGTGTATCAGTGAGCATTTTCTGTGTGACAAACCAGTGTTAAGCTGGCCATTGCCTTGGTGTATTCAGACAGCTACAGATAGTAGGTAGTTTATGGCCAATTGATGGTGCCAGTGAGATACTATGTCTCTAGCTTCTAGCAAGCTAGCCCAGGCTTTTCCACGTGGTGATTGAGTTATATATATGTAAGAGAGGCTAGGAGCAGAGGCCACATTATTCCTCTCTACCTAAGATCAGAAGTGCTCATGACATTTCTGCCATCTTCTGCTATTGGTCGAAACAACACCAGTCCAGATTCTAAAAAGATCAGTAAACTCTACTCCTTTATGAGAAAAACAGCAAAGTCATATTGTGAAGATATGTCCATATGGCATAGGTAAGATTACCATTGCCACCTATGTAAATGTATGATTGCCCAAAGTAATGTCAACTTTTGCTTAAAGATTAAATTTGCTATTTTTAACTCCTTGATATTTCAACAAAGTACATGTTGTTTTTTTTTTTAAAGCAGTTCGTGTAGCAAAACATATGCAAGTCATAAAGAAGGTGAAAATAAATTCACATTTTCCTCTCTTCTTTGCTG